GCGGAGATTGGCAAAATCACTTCGAGCTTTTGCTATGCGATTCGTGATCTCATCTATTTTCATTGGCGCTGATATAGGTGCCGAGATACTTGAATTTCTCGATGACTTTTAGCTGATCGCCGCCAGTGGTCAGAGCAGGAGTGAGTCCCTGCCAGTCTTGGAGGACTTTGCATTTCGCGAGTGCAAAGTATAGCCCACAACGATTGACAGCCAGGGCTAATCCGTCCAGTTCTGCTTCGCACGTTTGGTCGCTGTCACACATGAGGGCAATGTCGTCCGCATACTCCAAGTCAAGAAGTCGCTTACCATGAAGCAGCTTCACATCTTGTAAGTCGTGTCCAGCGAACACTGTTTCCATGACTTCGTCAATAGCGAAGTTAAATAGGAAAGGTGACAGCGAACAACCTTGTCTCACATTGCTGGAAATATTGAAGGGTAGCGAAAGTTTGCCAGAACCTTCATTCTGCCTGAACTATGCGCGTACAGCGCTCTGATAATGTTTGCGCATTTATCGGGCACACCTTTTCTCAGCAGACACTTCCAAGAGGCACATCGATCCACCGAATCAAAGGCACGACAACGGTTGATAGTTAATAAACATGGTAGTGCTCCAACCATTGACATAAACTAATAATATGGTCGATGTATACTCAAACTCGACGAAATCCACCTTGCTCCACAAGAATCCGACTTTCAGGAGTGCCAATCATTTTGTGGAGAACGACCGAGGTAAGCAATTTAGAGGCCATTGCGATCAGCCTGGTCCCTCTATAATTGGTGCGTTCCACACGGGAGCCTCCCTTGCAAATTAGGACGATAACGGAGCGGCTCCAGTCAGTTGGGACAGTTTCCTGCTCCCAAAGTTTCACTAGTAACTCATGTAGATCATCTGCTAGAGCAGGTCTGCCGAATTTGAAGAGGGCTGGAGGAATTCTATCTGCCCCTGCGACCTTATTCAATTTCAACAATCTAATCTTCTTTTCGATTTCTGTGTGTGGTTGGACCCACGGGGATGGTCCAGGGAGCAGGGCGATCAATGACTGGTGGAGAAGCCGACAACTCTGACTGATTGAACTGATTCGAGTGTTTAGACAAGTTGTAAATCCGTTGTCCACTCTTGCCGCGTATGGTCTCGCTAACATTAGGTCTCCTGCTGCCCGTTTCCATTATTAAACAGAATTACTTACGATGGTTACCAAGGACAGCGGCTGTATCCGTTTCCGATGCACGATGAGACCATCTGACTTCACCGTCTCTCATTAGGCTAGCACGCAGTTTTGCCCTAAAATTTCCGCGAATCTCAATGTGCTCTCTTCCAGCCGGGATACGTCGACGGACATCCACTAGTTCCAGAGACTGTGTAGATACCCAATGTTTAGTGTGGCAAGTTGATTTACCACATGAAGACATGTCTGCTGCTAATAACGTCTGGCGAATATGCGACCAGTGATCTTCAACGGTGTTCAGTAAACGCTTACTCATCACGGATGCCAGCGTACTTTGATACGTATTCAGAATACCCGGCTTCGCCAGTTGCTTGATGCCTATGCGCGCACTGCGAGGTTGCGGATGTTCGCCGAAACGTACCCGAAGCTCGACACACACAGGAGCGTGATCAGAGTCCACGCTCGTGCTCCAAATCGAGCGACACTTTTGCACACAGCCCCTCCAGTGGTAACTGATTGCAATGTGATCGATTTACGTCTATGGTTGGTTCGAGGCTGGTGGACGCCAAGTCACTGTTTTGCGAGTTCTGTGTCTAAACGTAATGCTCTCGAGAAAGAGAGGAGCATCTTCACAGAGGTGTAGCAACCGATCACCGTTATCCTTTTGGGGGCCTACACCATCCAGATGATGCTCATTGGTGGACATTTTTCCAACTTGAGATTTCAACTCACAAACAAGCACCAAAGTGTCCTTACTTTTTCTGTAACGAAGGAGCGCGTTAGATTGGTGATAGAGCTCGTCTTTTACCGAGTCAGCGCCATAATTTGTGGGCACGTGAGCCGCGATGTCAAACAAGCACCGTTTGTCCACACGCCACTTCGACGCTTTGGATGAGCCAGCCAATCTGACCGCGCACATCCGGCTGTTCATTGGGATCTGATCGATCAGAGCAGCTTCAGCCTGGGAGATAAGAGCCATGCCTACACCGGCTTGGCCGGCCTTTGAAGCCGTGTCATCTCCAGACAGGCGCAATGAGAATGTGACTAGTGTCGTATGTGGGGGATCGCAGGGTACTCCCGGAGCTCAGATCTTGTATACGGGTTTCCGATAAACAGCGAATATCGATCGATAGAGTCTCTTGTGTTCAGGCAAGTGCTGCCTGTTGATCAATCTGTAACAAAGTTCGCACGTTGAGGCATACCATTCTTAGCGGGGATCGAGGGCTCCAAAGAGACATGGATGAACTGACGTTTTCCGCTTGCTTGAACAGACTTGTCGACTGAACTGGAGCGGCGCCCTGAGATTGCATATGAGTTGAAGGTAAAGACAAGTGACTATTTAAGCAAAGCGGGGTGGGCCCAGAATTGGTGGATTGTAGGCGGAGATAAAAGTGAACTTGGAGTGAGACGATGGGGATCAAAAAGTCCGAGAAGGGGAATACGAAGACGCAAGGCTTGAGCAGTAACATCTAAACACCTAACCACCCTGCTCCTTGAAGCAAATGAGGCACCATTTATTATCCTTTGCGGCGGCCAGAGCATCAAGGGATTGTTTAAGGGAAAAGTCGTTGAGTTGTATTGCGTTGACAGGATACTGTCAGGTTGCCCAGGTCTAGACAAGAGAACGATTAGGGTTCTCAACCAAAGCACCTTACCGCAAGGCAGCGAGGTTTTGGCACAGCTACAGTGAATCTGTTTTATGGAGTAAGGAGCCATCCTCACTCCAACCCCTAATCTGGAGAACCGGGAGATTAAGTTTGTCTGGCTTCTAATCATTGATCAATCTGGTATGAGTGACTCTGAAGGTGCAAAAAGCACCCTGCAACGTAGATCACTGGATTATTGAGGCACCCAAACCATCGCACCACGTTAAGGTCCAGTGTCGTCACAATGACCGTCTGCACATATTCGCCCGTGCGCTGATTGGTTCGTGTTTAGCTGCACTGGAGCCAATTTGTTTGACTGATTCATAGGAAGGATCTCAGGTATGCAGAAGTATCGTTAGTTATGCTAATGACCTAGTTATTTACACGGAGGTTTCTACGTGCCAGTTGTTGTCATTTTCGCTTGGTTTGCTTTGTCAATTAAACCGCTTGTCCCCTAAGGACCCAGTCCTGTGACACTTTGTACAAACATTCTCCAAAATCTCTGACAGTTTTCGCGTTTTCATACACCTCAATTCTACATAGCATTCGGTTTTTCGGATTCTTCTATAGAACTTTTCACAGGCTCATTCTTTAAATCTTTTTTCTCGATTGCGTTCTGCTCTTCACCAAACCCCAGAACCCTGTAATGAAGAAGTGGAAGGAAATGCGTCAGCAGTGCTCCGTCTAGCAACAAACGACACTTCACCATCGTAATATTTCTACACTCGAGGTTCTCTGGTATCATATGCCATCCGGCGTTTGGATTTTCACCCCCTGTTGATTCTCAGTTAACAGATTGACTTTATTCATTTTTCTTGAATACGCACAAGTATTCAGCACTTTTTATCTTCTCAGGCAGCTTATTCCATATGGTACCATGTCTAACCTGTTAAAAATTTTGCCCCAGATTAGTTCTGAATTTCATTGACCCTTGCTGTTCCTTGTCATTCTTAGCTTTATGAAATTGTTAGTAATTACTTTATCCATATTTACATAAGTCGCGTGCTATGTGCTGGAGGTGGCCGCACTTAATTACCTTTATCCTCGTTCCATTCGCAGCGCCTTCATTAGTTTTGTGTTACGCCGACTAAACTGCTTTTATCTCATATTATTCGCCTCTTCCGGGTACCAGAATGGCATCGGACGAAATTGAAACCTGGCCTACCATCACACTAAGCATTCACACTTCAGTATTCTTCCCATTTTTTGTTGATTCTGATTCGCAGTTCACTTGTGTGACTACTTTGACTCTATTGGCTACATGTTATGACGTGTCCTAGTTGTTTCGACTCAGTCGGAACGGACGAACGTTCTTCACGCGTGCAGAGTAATCAGTCGAATTCGTAACGCTGCTGGCTATCGTGATCTAGGCATCAGACGTACACTCGAAACGAGACTGGGAACGAATCACGCGTAACCTAACACAACTGCACTGAGATCCAAACGAGAAAGAAAGACTGGCCGTTTGTAAGAGTTCCTTTACTGAGTAACAGAGCTGAAGCACGCCGTCTAGGCGTCCTTTTTATGGTTCAATAGAATAGCATAAACTATAGAGGAAGATAGATGTTTGCAAGGCACATGAGTTGTCGCACAGTGATGGTGTCCTGAGGGAATCTCGGTTATTGTCAGAATGGGTTTCTGCGGTAACCGAAGCAACTGAGGAGCTCAGATGTTTCACTACGGCTTGATACGATGGATACAGCAGTGTCATGAGAAGTGCATCGGGTTCACTGCAGCATACACAGTTGATGCAAATGTGCCCTGTGTAGAGCTCAACTGGTTCTATATGGCTTGGCATCTGTCCTGAAAACGCCTCGGTTGTTATTTACACAGTTTGAATCGCCGCATAGTCTGGGTGAGCCGAGTGAAATCTTCGCGAGTTTTGCGCAGATATGCTAGCTCCTTGTTTGATTGGCATTTTTGTTGCCAGTTTCCTTTTCTCATTCCCACTTATGCTACTTATTACTGTCATTGCGACACGCATGGGAGCTTCGATCCACTCACTTTGGTTTTGGTATCATCACATTAGATTGACTGATCTGAACTGCACTTGATTTTTCTTCACTCTTTATATTGTCTTCAAATTACTCATATATACTTTCCTCTGATTAATACTAGTTATTCTCTTCTTTTTCTCACTGCTTCGTCTGTTGTACAATCCCGGTTCCCCTCACCTGAAACTCTGAAGGGAGCCTTTCACTTTTGCTCAATGAACGACACCAATGTCAACAGCGTTTGACCGAAGTCGAAGTAATGCGTGTTTTCTGCGATGTATGCGAAGCTGTTTGTCGTCTGCACCATTGCAAAACCCCTGTGATTCATCGTGACTTGAAGGTTAGTCAATAGATTCCTTTGTGTATTAAATCCCGAGTTAGCTAACAAAATCCCGTGTATGCCATTCGTTTTCACCTTGCACCTCGACATTTGTCTACGTCATAATAGTCTGTTCGAATAGTCACATATCTTGCAGATCAGTCTTACGGAACACGCAACCCCCATTGTTCGCGTGTCTTATTTGACTAGTTGAATGACGTTCACGGCGCGTTTTTACCTTAGAGGGTGATCGACTATTGTTGGTACATCATTTGTCTTATCTGCATGGCTTATCTGCGTCTGTTCGATGCGATTAATCCATTTTTCAATGGATAATGCCATGATTAATGCCTTTCACTTTGTGGTGGTGGGTAAACATTCTCTGATCAGTTCAGCTTCACAGAGCGCTTTTATCGCCGGTGAAACTGCCATTACTCCTCTTGGCACTTTTCCGAACTGTATAACCCAACTTGGGAGAACGCTTTTCCGGACGCGAAACACCCATCGGCGTGTACCTCCTTGATCAGCGGTTTCGAACCTGGGTGTAATTACTCCCAGAAGGATAAAGCGGGCTTATTAATGAAATAAAATTATCATAAAATCATCTGTATTATCGGCTCATCTAACCATCTACCTAATCATTAGTGGTCACTCGCTAGGGACACATCAGTGTTGATTGCTCAGGGAATCAGACTGTTTCAGATAATTCATGTTGGTACTCAAACTGCCAATACAAGTCTATAACGCCTCGCAGTTAGATGGGGCATCTATCCACTAGCTTCTCCATCGTTGTTCATTGGAGTCAGGCGGTCGTTTGCCGCCCTATAACCAATTCATGCATGTGAGGTTGGTATCGCCGATTTCGCTAAGTTTGAACATATGTTTGTGTGGACGATAAAGCAAATTAGATGAGCGAATTAATTGGATGCTTATTAACCTCGATAACAATGCGTTTATTTTCAAATGTTTACGAAAATCTCACCTGCACCAACTTGCGTGAAAGGTAAAATGTGTCAAAATGTAGGAGATTACTTATTAATTTAATTGTAACATATTCTTTTGGAATTCACCAAACGCACAACCACCACCTATTTTGACAAAGACTGGTGCTGAGAATCCATTAATATCACAAAAAGAGTTGATAACACTGATCTCATTCAACATAATTTCCATATTTGAAAATGGATTTTCCATAATGATAATCATGAAAAAATATAGGACCGGATTTAGCTTTGAGCACTAATTACGATGTTCATTAACCGAAACTGCACCATCTTGCAATGCAAATGTTTGCGTCTTTGTACTTGACACCCACGGACCATAGCGATTCCCTGAACACAATTACAAGTGGCGTTCCTCGATGCAACGTTGTCGGCCAACTTGGAACACCCATCTGAATTCTTTGATGTAAATCTGCATAGTGCTCAGGCTCCTAATTTCAATTGTCCAGGTAAAGTTCTAATTGACTTACTTGTCACTCAAACTCATAGTCTGATAGCTAACGGTATGGGTTCGAACCTCAGTCATCACTGTTCTCTAAGTTGATTTCGATGCGCATTTAGAAGGGCTTTGGAAGCGCCTTATTCGCCGAATGCTTCTAAACTGGTTGATGCAAAGCGCTTCATGTCTTGACAAGTGTTTACCACTGTTCCCTTGAGAGACCACTGCACCGCTTCTTCGCATCATCGTTGAAAAGTGACTGATGGGCCCATGTATGTATCCAAGATGATCATTACACCCAATAGGTTGCTGTGGGGATGTTGAGACATCAGCTTGCCAGACAAACACAGATTATACGATTCTCGTACGATACATTTGTAGCGGAACTACTGTTTGGACAACTTTCCAGATGACGTTACCAGTTCACCTAGCATCGTGCCGACACCTCGCTGCCACGCGACCACCACCGGTCTTGCTTTGGTTGGACATACCGCGAGGTCGCCAGCACCTGCGCGGATTCGAAATGGTGATCGGATTACAAGACAGGCGTGAACTGCTCCCAGCTATTGTTAGGCGTTTTAGTTTACGGATCTAAAACTGTGCTTGACCGTTGGCCGAAAGTCACTGTTTCGTACCCGCGCATGCGCGGGATTCCCTGTGCCTTTCATTGTTAACATTAGTTCTTAAGAAATACACCTTTCCCCTGTCTTGAAGGTGGAGGCTCTGTTTATGTATGTTATTATTGCAGGAACATCAGATGATTCCGCAAAGATTCGGACTTGCAACATGGACTCCAATACTCGCATAGGCATCTCCATTTGCCCGTTATCACTTATCGGTTAAAGTGGTGGAGGTTTCGGCTAACATCCAAATGGTCCCGGGTTCAAGGCCTGCTATCTCTAACTGATGAGAGCAAACAAGATTGAAACGCATGGTGGAGAGTAATGTTTTGGGACGAGTAACACACCCAATTTCCATCTGCCTCATCAGTTACGTTCCAGGCGGTGGAATTGGCCAAGGTTCACTTCAATGCGATTCACGGTCCACATTGTATCCACACCACGTGTCCTTCAAACCGACTCTCCAATTAATCATTAACCGTTGTGCCAGGCGTTGACTGTCTTGGTTCAGGGGCCAAAGAACTAGCGATTTGAGCTAACATCCAAATGGTCCCGGGTTCGATGCCCGCTATCTCTATATGAGGAGATCAAATGTGATCGAAACGCATCGTGTAGTGCATTGTTTTCATGCGTACAGTACACAATATCCATCGAGTCCATAACTTATTCATCTCTCGAATTTCCATGGAACTAGTGTCTCGGTTTACCCATCAGATACGTTTCGTAGGTTGCTGCAACGGCTGTATAGTTTCACTCTATGTATGTTGCTTTGCGGGTCGTTTACCTCTCCCAGTGCTTTGTCTCAATGCTTTTTCTGTTAAGTCCAGTTACGGTCGCAATTCATCAGAAGAGTTTTCGCACAAATATTACGTTAGAACTGGAAAGTATTCCCTCTCATTTTGTCTTGTTTTGCTCTTTTTATTCTTCACTTGTATTTTTCTATTCCTCGCGATGCACCTTGCTTTTTGAATTACTTTTATGAATCGATCGATTGTAACCGTGACTTATTGATTGTGGACTTTTTCCCTACCCTTCTTATCTGCGTCTCTTATTTGTATTCTTTTTAGGTGGAAAATGTTCTCATAGATAGCCGACAGAATTTTGTCTTGTGCGATTTCGGAAGTGCCACTTCTCGCGTTCTTCATCCCGGGGTTCATGGCTTGTTACGATGTCAAGAAGAGATTGATCGGTATGTTCAACCTCACCTCTTTTGCTATTGCAGTTTCCCCCGTGTGTTCGTTTTCCATGCTTTCTACCGGGTTGTTCACTCTTCACCTATTGTAACAACCAGTGTAAGGAATTCTGCCGGTCTTCCACTTTGATCATCTATAGTCCTTTTCTTCTCTCCCGCCGGTGGCCGAAAGGAACGCGTGCTTGCGTAGTACTCTTGAAGTCACGGGTTCATATCCGCGTGGATGCGGGTGATGTCGCGGTATAAATCCATGGTTTCTTCATAGGGCATGATACTACTCCATCACCATCAAAATAAATAAATACCTAGTATCCCGTATGTGTCTGGATTGCGGCACACTACCTCAGTTATTGTTTGGTTTGTTGGGTCAACTTTACCTTCCACGGTAATCGAAAGCAACTACTTTCGATTACCGTCATTGTCGTAGTTTCGTTTTGCGATTTTCTCATCACTGTAGAGTATCCGAATCATAGAGGAGACGATTCGAAAAGTTCAAAGCATTATACTTTTGTGAGTTTCATCTAATCGAAAACAGAGCGAAATATTCGCTTGCGCATACTGTGGATTGGAGTGTTTTCTCGTCACATTACCCACCCGATTCGTTGTATTTAATCTCTTTTCTTTTTCGCTGTTTGCCACTACTGCAAAGTAAGTGACCGAGAGTATTATGTGCCTGCTTTCTAATTCGAAGCTCACCGGTTCAAGTCCGCGTAGGTGCGGGTGACCTCGTAGGATTGATGCTAATCGCGTGACAGCTTAGCGTGGATACAATGTTCTGAATGATGCCTTTTCTCAAGTGCAAATGCGGGCCTTTGCTTCTGGTCGTATTTCACCTGAGAGACTACAAAGTGCCCGCTCGGCACACCTCGTAGTATTTTTTGAACTTTATTAAAGCACTTGGGGGTTATGCACGTCGAAATCGATTTTACTCTAGGTAGTCAAGGGTGCCTGGTCTGTCATTAAGGCATTTACGGTGAACCACCACCACAACGACCTTTACTGCCTGATACAAACAAATTTAATGCCGTCCAAATCCATCAGGTTTCCATCATTTGATCACTGTCCCCACTCGCTACGAGCATGTACACTTTTTTATCTCCACTAGTTCTACGAAGATGGACGTTTTGGTCTGAGTTCCCAGAAGATGTAGTTGAAACTGGCATGTACGGGTTTTTGACGAGACACTTATGAACTTGCTCCATCCATCCCTCCTAGTCATGAGGGCTATCTATCGTTATCCGTGTTGTTCCTTTTACACAGCTTATGTTGACAACGCTATTGGCATAACCGAAGCCGTAATGACACACTAACTATCCCGGTACACTGTTGGCCAATACAGTTTACAATTTATCCTCGGATAAGCGCCACATCTTCAGGTTCGAGTTGGAAGCGAACTAACTTGAAAGGGCTTCATTGTCTAACTTGCTTACTTTGTTACTAATCGAACAGCTATCGTTCCTCAATCCGGAAATCCACCCGGGTCGATTTTTATTCTTGCTCGATTCATCAACGATGCACATACCCTAACTTCTACCCTACTCTAGCGAGAGTTTGGTTGGGATCTCTGTGCCACGATATGTGCAGACTGTGAACGTTTCCAACAAATACCTCACTCATTCTGCATTACTCCGTCGCTTGACTCTAGCGAACCACTGGTTGCTCCCTGAGCAATTCCAACCAAGCTCACTAGCTTATTTGGTTTGATCACTGTTTCACGCGTACAAACTATAGCGATCTAACCCCACAAAGCATGCAACTGGAGTACTTAGCAAGACGACTGTTTGAATACACCAGCACAAATCAATCCCCTCCCTTATGCGCAGTTAATTGGTACCCGATAAGTCGATCGAATTCGTTTGCTTTTCACTGCTGGTCCTAATTACAATCCCGTCTCTCTTGCCGATAGTAGGGGGTATCAAACCCCGGTGAGAAGTGAGCCGTGTCTTGTACTTTCTGACAGGTCCGGCTTTTTGCACACATTCCGTATATTTTGCAAGTGCAGTTACCTCATTGTGGACGCTGTAGTTTGCCTCGTTGTTTTGGGTAATTGAACGTCTTACTTCTGATACCCTTGCTCCATCGCAATGAGGCTGGACCTTACCGTGGTGCGATGGTTTGTGTGCCTCAGTGATCCATTGAGCTATACTGGGTGGTGCATTTTTGCACATTCAGAGTAACTCATACCAGATTGGTCAATGGTTAGAGGCCAGACAAACTCAGTCACCTGGTCCTCCAAGTTGGGGGTTGAAATGAGGGTGGCTCCTTATTCCTTAAAACGGACTCCTTGTAGTCCAGTGCCAAACCCGCTGCCTTGCGGCCAGGTTTTTGAACCAAAGGCTTTGGTTGAGAACCCTAATTGTTCTCCTGTCTAGGCCTGGGCAACCTGACAGTATCCTGCCCACGCAATACAATGAATTTCTCTTCAAACAAATTTCTGATGCTCTGGCCACCGCAGAGGATAATCAACGGTGCCCTATCTGCTGCATCGAGCAGGGTGGATAGGGGTTTGGATGCTACTGCTCAAGCCTTCCCATCTTCTTATTCCCCTTCTTGCGCTTTTTCATCCTTATCGTCCCGTTCCAGCTTCACTTTTATCCCCCCAATTCTCGGCCCCCCCCATCTTGCTTCAATAGTCGCTTGTCTTTTAGTTTCAACTCACAGGTGAACGCAGAGCGTCATTCCTGCACTGTCAACAGGCCCATGTCCAAGCAAGCGGCCCATTCCAGTTCATCGGCTTCCATTTGGAGCCCTCGATCCTCCTTCAGACTGGCATTCCTCAACGTTCGCACATTGCTTCAAATCGGTCAACAGGCAGCACTTGCCCGAACATTAGAGACCCTCTCGATCGATATCTGCTGCTTATCGGAGACCCGCCTGCAAGACTCGAGCTCTGTACTCACTCTGCGATCCCCTTCAGGTGGCACTAGCAGCACTTTCTCATTGCGCCTATCCGGTGACGATGCAGCTTCGAGCACCGGCCAAGCCGGTGTTGGTATTGCCCTGAGTCCCCGGGCTGAAGCTGCTCTGGTTGATTGGATTCCAATCAGTAGCCGGATGTGTGCGGTCCGATTGGCTGGCTTGTTCAAAACTTCGAAGTCGCGTGGGACTAACAGGTGTCTATTCGTTATCGCTGCCTATGCACCGACAAACTGTAGCGATGACTCGGTAAAAGACGACTTCTATTGTCAACTGAACGAGCTTCTTCGCCACAGAAGAAGCTCGGACACTGTAGTGCTGGCTGGGGATCTGAACACTCAAGTTGGAAAATTATCCACAGATGAGCTGCATCTGGGCGGCCAACATGATATAGGTTCCCGTAATGATAACAGTGAGCGGTTACTTCATTTGTGTGAAGATGCTCGCTTATTTCTTGCGAGCACTAACTTCAGACACAGCAGTCGCCGGAGGGTGACTTGGCGCCCACCAGCCTTGGACGCAAATCGATCACATTGCGATAAGTTACCGATGGAGAGACTGCGTCCAGAACTGTCGCTCGCTTTGGAGCACAGGTGTTGACACTGATCATGCACTTGTATGTGCTGACCTGCGGATGCATATTGGCGGACGCCCACGACGACGCTGTGAGCGCATTGACACCAGCCAACTGGCGAAGCCAGCTGTTCTGAATGCCTATCAAAGTACGCTGTCATGCGAGTTGGATAAACGCTAACTGGATGCAGTTGAAGGTCACTGGTCTCATATTCACCAGGCCTTACTAGCAGCAGGCAAATCCTCATGTGCTATGTCTAATCGCCAGCACGAACATTGGGTCTCTTCACAGTCTCTGGAACTTATAGATGCTCGCCGACATATTCCGGCTGGAAGCGAACACAATGAAACTCGCAAAGCGCTCCGGGCAAAACTCCGTGCTAGCCTGAAGAGAGACCGCGAATCCTGGTGGTCTCATCATGCATCAGAGATGGAAATGGCCGCTGCTCTTGGTAACCATCGTAATTTATTCCGTCTGATACGGGAAACGGGCAGCAGGAGACCTGGTGTTAGTGAAACTATGCGTGACGAGAGTGGACAGCCTATCCACAACTTATCAAAACGTCTGGAACGTTGGGCTGAGCACTTTGAAAGGCAATTTAATCGATCGGAATGATTAGGTTTCTCGCCGGCCAGAGATCGCTCTGCTCCGTGTGCTGTCCCTTTGGATTTACGCTCTCGTTCAGAAGTCGAACGTGAGATCGGACTGTTGAAGTTGAACAAAGCCTCGGGATCTGATGATCTTCCTCCAGTCCTCTTCAAATTCGGGGGACCTGCTCTCGTGGATGATTTACACGCGTTACTAGTGGAACTGTGAGAGCAGGAAACTGTCCTAACCGATTGGAGCCGCTACATCATAGTCCCACTTTTCAAAGGAGGCTCACGATCGGAATGCGGCAGCCATAGAGGAATCAGTCTGATCTCCATTGCCTCCAAATTGCTTGCCTCTGTCATTCTTCACAGACTGAGTGGCAATCGTGAAAGCCAGATTGGTGAGGAGCAAGCTGGATTTCGTCGAGGTCGTAGCTGCATTGACCACATCTTCACCTTGCGTCAGTTGTTGGAGCACCGTCACATATATTGGCGGCCCACCGTTGTCGTGTTCCTCGATATCAAAGGTGCATTCGATTCGGTGGACAGACATGCACTTTGGGACTGTCTACTCAGGAAAGGTGTACCTGAGAAATATGTAAATATTATCCGAGCATTATATGGGCGTAGCTCGGGCAGAGTGAGGGCTTACGGCAAGTTGTCGTCGCCCTTTATCTTCTCCAGCGGCGTGAGACAAGGATGCCGGCTGTCACCTTTCCTCTTCAACTTCGCTGTTGACGAAGTCATGGAAATCGCGTTTACAAGACACGACTTTGAAGGTGTAGAGCTACTCCCAGGAGAACGACTTCTTGATTTGGAGTATGCTGATGATATTGCCCTGATCTTTGACAGCTCACAAACGTGCCAAGCGGCACTGGACAGATTAGCACCAGCTGTCCGTCACTTCGGGCTTTGCT